GTGGTGAAACAAGGTTGAGAGCACGTAAAAGATCTATAGGACGAGCGTTTTGCTTTTGTGTTAAAGAAAAGTTTATCGTCATTTTCGTATCATCAGTTAGTGATAACTCTTTTATAGCACTAAGGTCATCACCATCATCAGTTAGAAAACCAATTGTTTCATTATCAATGTTATTTACAGTATAAGTTTTACCATTGGAAAATTTAACAATATATTCTCGTATATTCAATGCATATTCAAACATATCATTAAAATTATTTTGTAATTCTTTTGATTGTGTTGAATAACGAAAGAGACCTTGACGTGTACCAAAGGTTCGTATTTGATTGAGGAATTGATCGTTAACTTCACCGAAACCAATAACATGAAATGTAATAGGAGGAGACTAAACAAGAGCAAAGCATAAAATTATGAAGCAAATATTATAATGGCAGAATCTAACCAATTCAAGTTTTCGAAAACACAATTAATCACTTATATCGTTAGGAAGAGCTTTCTCTTGATTTCTTTTCACGAAAAGTAATCAGCAACTGTTCAATCTCTTTTGCATTAAGAGTACTCGCATGATGTCGTCTCACAATAACCAACGATTGCTCTAGAAAAAAGTTTTTGAACATGGGAAAAAAATGATTTTCGAATATTGACTGCGAAGTTTATATAAATGTAATCCTTAACGAAAATAGTATCTTATAAAAGATTGAAGTTTTTAAACTTTCGTTCATTCCGTTAAAAATGAAACTCTGCTGGAACCATGTAAAACTTTTTCGATTCTCAATGATGCGAAAGAAGTTGAACATATGGTGGTTATCTCTTGTCAGTAAAACGATAAAAAGTCACTCACATTTTTCATTGCGCTTAAAACCAATTTTAGCATCTCGATACTTTTCTTCAGCTGTGAACCATTGGGTTCATTATCCTGTCCATCGGTCATAAATATAAAAGTTGTTGCTTTCTTTGATGATGAATTTTGCAGAAGATAATCTTTGATTGCATTAAATATGCATGCGAATGACGTACCTCCATCAGCTTTCAGATCATCTTTTTGTTCTGATAAGATTTTTAACGTACGTTTTGTATCTGCCTGTGTATTATACGTAAATAGACGATGATCTTTTTGTGTACGTTGATAAATATCACGTAAAACTTCGCAAACATTATGTATAGGACTACCAGCCATTGAACCACTTGTGTCAACGCAACAGATAATCTCAGTGCCACTACTAGCAACATAACTTGTTACACCTGATCCTTCAGGTTGTGAAAGTTTAATTTCAATATAGCTTTGTTGACTGAATAACTGCAGTTTGAAATACTCGGCCATACCCAACATTTGCTTTAAATGAGGAAGAAAGAAGAAAAAAAACGAATGAATAAAAACAAAGTATGGTTCTCAAATAATCATTGTTTGCGTGGCTATGATGAAATACTACATGCAAACAACAGAACGGAACAAAACATTGACTCGTGGAGCATTCATACTCGTTTATAACAGTAATAGATATTTTACTCATGTAATATTGCACAACTGGGAAGAAAGTTTTGAATTACAAAATAGTAGTAATAATCATTTGGAAACTTTATTCGGTCCGTTGAAAGATTTATCTCAGCGAATGAAGGATCTAGAAACCTATTTTAAGATTTTCTTTTACGGCAACAAAAATGTCACTGGCAAAATTGATTTCATATTAGGCGTAAAATTTTAGCTGTATTTTTTAATTTAGAAATAATTCTTAATTGTTGTTTACATTCAAAAACCTGAGCAGATGGGTCGACTATATCGTTAATGAACATATCAATAATCTTTGTGTCAATATGACTGATAGATAGATTTTCTACGTTAAAGTAGTAAACGGAAAACCTTATGCATAAAAGAAATCACAGTCGAATTATAAAACAATTACTTATGTCTTCTTTTTTCGAACAATATTCTTTCGTTTGACTATAGTTAAAAAATTCTTTTGATATCACAGAATATTCACTATTCAACTATAAGCGTATTATATCTGGTAATTAATATCTTTTTAATCATGTATCTGATGATTCTCTTTTTTTTCTATATTAGGGGTATGGGTGTAGAGTGTAGGTGTGGAATGGTTGTGGGTGTTGGTGTTTGAGTGTTGATATTGTTCAACTTTATTCTTATACTCCCATCCGCACTGATACCCATCCGAAGAGTTTCAGGAATTCCATGGGTTCCAAGAGCTCTAAGGGTGCCGACAGTTTCATGAGTTTTAAGAGTTCTACGGATTTTCGGAGTTTCAAGGGTGTAAGAGTTCTAGGAAGTCTTGAGGCTCAAATGATTCAACAGTTCTAGCGAATCTGAGAGTTCCAAGAGTTTAAGAATATATAGGAGTCTGTTGACATAGACTTATATTTTGTTTTGGTAATTTAAGAGTTCAGAGTTCTTGAAAAATTCTGAATTCTTGGAATTCGATTACTACTGATCGGTTCTGGTATGCTCTGAGATACATTAACATCCTACAGGCACACTTGCGCCTTTGTCACACTCACGCCCACTTCTGATTTTTCTTGGTGAAGATATGAGGACATCGGAATGTTAAATGATTTGTTGAATTTATTTTTGCTTTTAGTATGCTTTCTGTTCTGATTTTTACTTCATTGATGAGGATGTTGGCACATGCAATCATTTGTTAAACTTATTTTGTTCGTTTAGCATTTATTGTTCGATTTTAATTTCAATGACGAGAAGATTGAGACTTCGAAAGATTGGGAAATCCTACGATTCGTTGAACTTTTTGATTTGGTATTCTATTTCTTTCGATTCTTCTTTGAAATATCGGAACGCTCAGACATTGAATTATTTTTCGAACTTATTTTTTCGTTTTGCATTCATATTTCGATTTTTCTTCTAATAATGGAGACACCGGGACATAAATGAGTCATTTCACTTAGGATTTTGAAAATATGTATTTAAAGTTTTTTTTTCAATGGTATGTGTAGTTCCACTTGAGATGATTT